TATAATACAGATCCTAATGGACTACTGGAGAAGTTTAAGATTACTGTAGTAGTCAGAACTATTACACTGATAGTCAGGATATTGTAGTAGTCAGCACTACTACACTGATAGCCAGGATATTCCATTTCCTGCTTGGGTGAGGTGTGGGTGGGTTCTGCGCAAGTGGCTTCCCCTTTATACAACACTTTGAATTTTTTTCAATGAATACAAGGCATTCTCTGATTAGATGAAGGAGAGATTTTGATGTCACTGTTCTTCTTCTCCACTTTGTCCAGTCAGAGATTGCCTTGTATTTATTGATAAAAACATACAAGCCGCTCTGTGAATAGTAGTAGTGCCCAGCGAGGGACCAATGTAAGTATGCAATGCAGATAATTCCTAGATTTCAGATTTAACTCTTCAGCATCCACCAACATCTGAAATATTAGTTTTGTGGGGACTGACCTTTTAAGCCTACCTTCAGCCCAAACTGATTTTAGTTTTGTGTAAAGTTGGGAGGGGTTAGAATCTTGTTTTAAAATCTTTTTTTCTTTGCTCTGTAAGACCCTGGGAGATTTCTTCTCACTTGCTGCATTGGATGTGGGTTAGTGATACAAATTACAAAGTAGGGAAGGTTAGAACATTTGCTATTTTTTTGTTGGTGTTTGTGTTCCTGTTGGAGGTTTTTTCTTTTGCTGACAGGGGTTACATAGTTAGTCTGGCTGAAAAAAAAAGACAAAATTCCATACAGTTCAACCATTAAAAAAAAAACAAAAAACAAAAGTTATAATCCTATACCCACAGTTAATCCAGAGGAAGGCAAAAACCCCAGCAAAGCATGATCCAATTTGCTCCTGCAGGGAAAAAAATTCCTTCCTGATCCCCCGAGAGGCAATCGGATATTCCCTGGATCAACTTTCCCTATAAATGTTAGTATCCAGTTATATTCTGTGTATCCAAGAAAGAATCCAGGACTTTTTTGAAGTAATCCACTGAGCTGGCCAGAACCAACTCTTGAGGGAGTCTATTCCACATTTTTTACAGCTCTCACTGTGAAGAAACCTTTCTGTGTGTGGAGATTAAGTCTCTTTTCATCCAGACGTAAGGAGTGCCCCCATGTCCCCTGTGATGACCTCAGGGTGAATAACTCTACACCGAGTTCACTATATGAACCACTGATGTATTTATACATGGAGATCATATCCCCCCTTATGTATTATACATGGAGATCATATCCCCCCTTATGTATTATACATGGAGATCATATCCCCCCTTATGTATTATACATGGAGATCATATCCCCCCTTATGTATTATACATGGAGATCATATCCCCTCTTATGTATTATACATGGTGATCATATCCCCCCTTATGTATTATACATGGAGATCATATCCCCCCTTATGTATTATACATGGAGATCATATTCCCCCTTATGTATTATACATGGAGATCATATCCCCCCCTTATGTATTATACATGGAGATCATATCCCCCCTTATGTATTATACATGGAGATCATATCCCCCCTTATGTATTATACATGGAGATCATATCCCCCCCTTATGTATTATACATGGAGATCATATCCCCCCTTATGTATTATACATGGAGATCATATCCCCCCTTATGTATTATACATGGAGATCATATCCCCCCTTATGTATTATACATGGAGATCATATCCCCCCTTATGTATTATACATGGAGATCATATCCCCCCTTATCTATTATACATGGAGATCATATCCCCCCCTTATGTATTATACATGGAGATCATATCCCCCCTTATGTATTATACATGGAGATCATATCCCCCCTTATGTATTATACATAGAGATCATATCCCCCTTATGTATTATACATGGAGATCATATCCCCCCTTATGTATTATACATGGAGATCATATCCCCTTTTATGTATTATACATGGAGATCATATCCCCCCTTATGTATTATACATGGAGATCATATCCCCCCCTTATGTATTATACATGGAGATCTATCCCCCTTATTTCCTCTTCTCAAGAGAGAATAAATTCAGTTCCTCTAATCTTTCCTCATAGCTAAGCTCCTCCATGCCTCGTATCAGTTTGGTTGCCCTTCTCTGCACTTTCTCCAGTTCCCCAATGTTCTTTTTGTGAATTGGTGCCCAAAACTGAACTGCATATTCCAGATGAGGTGTTACTAATGATTTGTACCGGGGGAATGATATCTCTCTCTCTGGAGTCTATACCTCTTTTAATACAAGAGAGGATTTTGATCGTTCAGATCTAAACCTTCCTCACTAAAAAAAAAAGTGTTTTAAATGTATCCACCATTTCACTTTCCCCTCATTTTCTGTCCCTGTGACCACACAGGAAATAAGGAAAAAATTACCCTGCAAGCAAAAAAAAAGATACTTCTCTGCTAGTCCAAAGCTATGACAGAGATTTAGGGCCATTTCACAGTAGAGTGCTGGAGTGCCTTACCTGTCAGACTACACTAGGTGGCAGTGTAGTGTGAGATTCAGATCCTTTTTTTTTTTCGGACAAACTTTATTTGAAGTGTACACATACACTTCTTTTGTGTTACTGTACAGCAGCACAATGTACAGTGTGCTGAAATAAAATGGAATGAATGGATCACACAGGAAACAAATGTTTTCTGTGTGTCCTTGCAGTGACAGGAGTTTTAAACTGCAGTAAAACATATGTTTGAATAAAGCCTAAATAAATACTGCTTTGTCTTATATAGATAAGAGAGTTTGCCAGCAGTGTAGGGATTGTAAGGAAAAAAATACTTTCCTACCTTGTATGTGCATTAAATATTTTTTTTTTATTTATTTACTGCAGACTTCGACTCCTGGCATGAGACTGCAACCCTAAAAAACTAAAAGTTTTTTGGACCTGCGCTAAGAGTCTGTAGTAGAATTATTATATAAATTTAAAACAAATCAGTAATAGGGCATTAAAGATAATCTTAATACAGAAATTGGGGACACTAACACTAAGTTTTGGGCCATTGACTAATTAGCAGAACTGGTATGGGCTCCATAAACAGACAGAGGGCAGGGCAGTTAGCTGAATCTGGTGGTGATGAGGGGTTAATGAATGAGCCTGGAGCCCAGAGCTGAGCTTTAAATGTAAATGCCCTCAACACAGAAATTGGAGACATCAGCCCTACATATTGGGCCCATTGACTAGTTAGCACTGCTGGCATGAGCTCCATAAACAGAGAGAGGTCAAGGCAGGTAGCTAAAGCTGGAGGTGATGGTGGTGGTGGTGGTGGGGTGGGGGGGTTAATGAAGGAGCCTGGAGCCCAGAGTTGAAATTTAAATGTAAATGCCCTCAACACAGATATTGGAAACATTAGCCCTACGTTTTGGGTTATTGACTATTTGCTACCACTCGAATGAGCTCCATAAACAGACACAGAAGTTGGGGCAGGTAGCTGAAGCTAGTGGTGGTGGGGAGTCAATGAAACAGCTCAGAGCCCAGAGATGGGCTTTAAATGTCATTGCCCTCAACACAGAAATTGGAGACACTAACCCTAAGTTTTGGGCTGTTGACTAATTAGCCCCACTAATATGAACTTCGTAAACAGAGGTCAGAGCAGGTAGTCGAAGGTGGTGGTGGTGGGGTTAATGAATGAGCCTGGAGCCTAGAGTTATGCTTTAAAGGTAAGTGACCTTAATACAGAAATTGGAGGCACTAACCCTAACTTTTGAGCTAATGACTAGTTAGCCCCATTGGCATGAGCTCCATAAGCAAACTGGGGTCAGAACAAGTAGTGTGCAAGCAGAGCCAAATCTTTGGGTGAGGATGGTTACAGTTGGCATACAGACACTTGGTTAGAACCGGAGGGATAGTTAGGGTTATAACCAGAATAGCAGTCATAATTTGCATTGGAGTCAGCTTGTTGGACAAAGGACCAGCAGCCATCCATGGGAAGTGTGCGGGAGCTGTCACTTCCTTTGTGGTGCATGTTCCGCACATAAAGAAAAACTAATGTGACACAATCTGGCCAGCAAATATCAGCTTTTTCTTGTACGCGCACAAAAACACATTCATGCTAAACTGATTTTGCCCAGTAATCCCAATTGGATTTATTTCAGAGGGTGTAACTGGAGCTTTTCCTTTGCTTGTTAGAGCAGTAATGTATTGTGAATGGCACTGACGGGGAATAAACATATCAGGTCAAGGTGTTTAGGAGTACAGTCTAACCACTTGTTCTCCATCTGGATTCAATATGGCTCTCGGCTAATGTTACTCCTCCATACATCAAGTGGTCTGCTCTGCTTTATGGAGTTCTCCATCATGTAATTGGGACAAATACAATATTGTTTATGAGTGTGGTGAGCTACTGGTCACAAAAATTCTTATTTACCTAAAATGAAATAAAAGCTTGTGCAGTTTGGTTTATAGAGGATGTCCGGTCACAATTAATATTTGGGAACCTGTATGAATGGCGATAGCAGAGTTGCTGGCTGTTGTTTTTAGGGATCATTTACTGAGATTGATTTGCTAAATAAAATAAACGGGAACAGGAATACACCGCGAGTGCATGATTGGATTGTGTGCCTGCATGTGTGCAAATGTGTGCGAACATTCGCTCACAGGCGCAGTCATGATCCAAGTACCTACCTAGGTATTCATACCTTGATGTTTAATGTGTATGCTTCAGTTCTTGTTTGCTATGCACGTTGAACTTCCAAATAATGTGTTCTTTATACTCCTATTGCAATAAGGTGTAAACTATATTTCGCATGTCAACATTTTTTGAAAAATAATTCTAATTTTGTTTTAAGAGAAATTGTAACGGAACCGACCCAGTCTGCACTTGGGTACTTTTGTTATAATACTGCTTCCCCATCCGAACACCGACCACAGACACCACAGCCGACCAAACAAGACTAGACGACACTAGTCTGTGTAAACATGGAACTCTTTATTTGAAACTCGAACTGGCTTTTTATACACTCAGGGGAAAATCCCCCCTCCCTGCATAATGACACAGGGCAGGGCAATCTACACTTAGCAACAAGAGACACACAAGTATTCAAACTTCACATCAGCAGACAGTCCCATCAGGAGGAAGCAGTGGCGGACTGACCATTTGGAAACTCGGGCACTGCCCGAGGGCCCGGGGTCAGTAGGGGGCCCCATGAGATGCCCCTGGTACCTTTTTCATAGGCTTTTTTGAGTTTGGGAAAGGACACAGGGGCCCCATGATCCCCTATTGCTCTGGGGCCCCATGAGTTGTCAGTCCGCCCCTGGGAGGAAGGCTGCTGGAGATCCCCCCCTCCACACTAAGCTTATACACAGAAACACATACATCCCATAATAGTTTGCTCTCAAGCAAGACACACAATAGAACAATGGGATGCAACCACATGGCATTAAACAATCAACAACCTCCCACCCTGATATTAGGACAGATCACCCTGTACCCCTAACAGGTACAGGGTGACTCACACATAATATGGATATGGGGAGCTGAGACAGGGGTCTCCCCACCTCTCTAATGTGAGCTGTGTTCCATGGACCCCCCACTCAAAGTGACTCCCATCACAAAACTGCTCATTAAACAATGGAACATGCATGCACCAAGCTGAATATTATATAAAAAAAAAAAAAACTACTCTATGCTGTCATATGGAAGTGTCAGCTAAATATAATTATTTATCATTGAAATGTGCATTCCAATCACCAGCATATTGAAATTTGTATGCTTACTAGTGTTAAAACTTTTGAGTATGCACACAATGTGCAGTACAAAAGCCCCACCCATGCATTCTCCCCTATACAATTTAAAGACATTAAGTTCTCTTTTAAACATCTTCCCCACCACTCACTAAAATACAAACCTTCACCCCCATCCCCATGTTCTCCACTGCATGACCCTGCCTTGGCACCGCAGAGCCTTTGCAAGAAAAATTCTTGGTTGGTCCGTATTGAGGTGTCCCCTGGCCAACATGCAGAGTGTGGACCATCCATCGGAATCATAGGTGCCAACCTCAGGACGTGGCTGGAATGTTTTTCTTGTAAAGACTGCACAGTAAAGAATTCAGGAATGGTAATGAAAGCAAGTATTTTAGTATGGCGGATAGGCTGAAGTGGTTGGGGAATATTTAAAGGATACCATTAAAGTGAAGCTGGCCTTTAATCTTTTTGCTACCATAGCCATATGTAGTTTTGTGTGACAATCTCAGGATGTACACAAAGGTGAAGATTTACTAAAACTGGAGCACTCAGATCTGGTGCAGCTGTACATGGTAGCCACTTAGGTTTTAATTTCAGCTTGGTTAATTAAGCTTTGACAATATAACCTGGAAGGCGATAGGTTTCTATGAACAGATGCACCAGATTTTGAACAGTGTCAGTAAATAAACCCCACACATCACATGTTGTAGACCTGGCCTCGGGCAAGATAAGTGATTCTGATGGCTGTATAGCCGCTAGATCATTTGTGGAAATGGTGGCAATCTTCCATAAGAGCAATGAAGCTGGAAGTGCTCACCTCTGAGCACTTTGGGGTTCAGAGCTGTCAGATCCCAACTGGTACATCTGTCTGTATTCAATGGTTGGTGGGAGTGCAGTAGACCTCTCTCAAACCCCTAATGACCTGTAACTATATGCTATCACAGGGGGCCTGAAAAACAAAAGAAACAAAGTTTTTTAAAATAAATACTGTATAAATTATAGTGAATTAAAAAGTAAATATATAAAATCATTTTAAAAATCACCTTCCGCCCACACACATGAACAAACAGGAGCGTTCAGCAAACGCCAGAGTGAGCAGAACAATTCTAGAGCCATTATTTAGATAAGCGTCAGCTATGGAACATTTTGGGCATCCTACTGTGTTGCTGTTGTGAAACTGCACAGTTTGATATTTTCACGTTTGATATCTATTTTTTTTTTTTAATTTAAATATTTATTCATTTTTCAAAGCAATAACAAAACACTTTCAACACATTCATAATAAATATACATGACTATTTCTTATTACTTTTATTTTTCCCTCTTAAAACAATACCCCCCCCCCCAAACCCCCCCCACTCTGCATTCTTTCACTTCCTCTTCTCCAAAGCAAGAATATCCTTCCCTTCCATCCACTCCATATCTTCCTTCAGTCACTTTTTCACTTTCACTTCAGAGTTTTCACATTTTTCTCATTTCGCATAATATACCTCCATCTTATCTTCCTGCGTATAATAGAGCTTCTCCATCCTACTAATCCAGTTTACTCTTTCTATCCAATCCTCCTCTTTCGGTACTTCTGGTTTCCTCCAATACTTCGGTATCAGGCTTTTTGCAGCGTTCATATAATACCCTAAACCTAATTTCTTATATTTGCTAACTGATAGCTCTGAACTATGCAGCAAACACATCTCTGGGTCTAGCCCAGGGGCGGGCAAACTTTTTGACTTGAGGGCCGCAATGGGTTCATATATTGGACCCGGGGGCAGGACCAAGAGTAGATGAAAGATGTGTATGTGTGAATTAATATAAATTAAATTAAAATTTTGTAACATTTCATCCCCCATAGTACTATTCCCCCCCCCCAAGTAGTAAGCCAAGTCCCCCCTGTGTCAATTTACTTACCTTTGCTCCGTGCGTTCCTCTCGCCGTGTTCCCCGCGCCGTCCAGTCTTCAGGGCGGACTGTGAGAGGAGCCTAGCTCCCGTCACGTTCGTCACGCTGCCCCGCCTACACACATCCTGACAGCCAATCACTGGCTATCAGGATGTGAGTGGCAGCGAGACTGGCCAATCATTGCATTTGAGCACGCTGAATGATGCAAATGTTTGCCTGCCCTGGCTGGTTTTTTTTTGTATCACGCTCCGCGGGCCGGATTAAAAGGTCCGCCGGGCCGTATACGGCCCGCGGGCCGTAGTTTGCCCATTCCTGGTCTAGCCCAATATTTATCTCAGTTATGGTCTCTATTAAGTGTACTATTGTTTTCCAGAATACTTGAATTTTTGGACATTCCCACCAAATGTGATACACTGTCCCCTTTTCTCCACACCCTCGCCAACACCACAGTGATTTTTCCCTACTTATCTTATGTTCTATGCTTGGTGTAATGTGCCATCTTGTTAAACATTTATAATTTATTTCTACATCCCTCAAACTTACATTTTCGTGAACTAATCTATTTATTTTTTTGTGTTTTTCTTCATCTAATACCACCCCCATGTCTCTTTCCCATTTCACTATGTGTGATATCTATTTAACCAAGTCAGTCTCATATTTTATACTTTACAGAAAATTTGAAGATTTTATTGAGTTTATGTGGACTATTGACTGATTTTTTTTAAACTGAAAATATAGGTTTTATACACAGTTGTATTAATATTGTGTGACATAAAAAAAATGTAGCTTACATTATTTATTTTTTATTGATTTATTTATTTTATTTCTATGGGTCCTCTGCTCTCAGAAAATATGTAACAATTTGGGGTCTTATGTGAATTTTCATGTACAAAATGAGCATTCCAGCATGCATGCACAAAATGAAATAATTGGCTCCAGCAGCTGAAAGGGTTACGGTGTTTTACAGTCTCCTTCAATGACAGCTAATCGCACTTGATGCGGTTTAATTCCTATATAGTATGTGCATCTCAAAAATGCTACCAGCTCAGTACCAACAAACCGCAGAGTAAAATCACATTTTTTATTTTAGGTATGCCAAGGCCTAGCTGGCATCTGTTCATACATTCTATAGCAAACCACCCTTGTTAATACATGCCACGTATGTTCGATGTAGCCTGTGCGCATGCGTACACACATCATAGACAAATAATACATTTTGTAAGAATAGGAATTGGATGTTTGCACTGTAGATCCTCAAATCTGCTAGTAAATCAGGCCCAATTCTGCATCTTGCAATCAATTTCAGCTTTCATAGGAATAATTTAAAACTCATCAAATTCATGGAAGTGCATGGACATGTGAGTGTAAAAGTGGAAGGTATAAAAGATTTACACAAAAGAGAAATCACTTTTCAGTCAATTGTCAGGTAGTCAGGAGGCGATGCGATGCCTCTGTGCTTCCTCATTCTCTTGGATGGGTTGCATTTGACGGGTTCATAAACAGTCCCGTCAGTCACGACATGTTGTATAGTTTTTGCCTTGCACCCACAGAATGTAAATACCCCTGTCTGCTCAGCCATGCATTTTTACCCCCCCCCCCCCAACTACAAGTCTAAACTTAGCCTAAAGGAGCTCTGCACTGCTCTTTCTTACACTGCAATCTATGGGCTCTATTTATTAAGGAATCAATGTGCAGTTAGCCCAGTAAATATTAAATGGTCACTTGATGGAATTTGCCCATCAGTTTCTGCTCTATTTTATGCTGAGCGAAACATTCCCAAATCAAATACTGCCAAATTGAATATTTACATCACAGGGTATTTTATAGCTACATAGGTAAATTTTCTTCAAATTTCTCACTGAATAAGCAGACCCTTAAGCCAGCCATTGATGGTTTGAATCTCGGCAGGTGCCTGCTGAAGATTTGATCCAGCTATGGACAGGCTGATTGTACCCAAGTTGATCCAACTGGATCTGACTAACTGCCACTGACATCACCAGTGACACTAATACAGTGATCAGTGATAATACTATACACTGTCACTGTACTAATGACACTGACTGGGAAGGGGCTCACATCTAGGGTGGTCAAGGGGTTAAATGTGTGCCTGACTCTGTGTAATGTGTGTAAAGTGTGCTGCTTTTACTATTAGATCTCTAAGTTTCTCATCCCTGCAAGCCAAACACAAAGATCCTTCCCTCTGTACAAAGTTCTGTGTTGATAGTCAGCACAGAGCTCTGGGCTGTAATTGGACCAGGGGTGGACTGACCATTTGGAAACTCAGGGACTGCCCGAGGGCCCGGGGTCAGTAGGGGGCCCCATGAGATGCCTCTGGTACCTTTTCATAGGCTTTTTGAGTTTGGGCAAGGACACAGGGGCCCCATGATCCCCTATTACCCGGGGGCCCCATGAGTTGTCAGTCCACCCCTGTATATGCTACTCATGCACATATTATCAAGTGTTACTAATACTGCTATTCTTATTAATGGGGTTGACTGTTATAGAGTACATCAGACTAGAAAGAGATTCTTAAAACCTTGGCGCCGGGGCCTCCCGGCCCTTTAATGGCTTTGCTACGCCAGAGCAGGAGCAGGGTTTAGGGTCATGTGACCACTGTGATTGGCTTTCACAGCGGTCACATGATCAAAAGGTTCCC